TTGTTACGCTGAAATAAACTCTTTAAATTATTCAAGGGGCAAGTGACTTGCACATAATACATAAACATCTTCAAGTTCTTCAGCTTTTATTTTTAAAACAAAGCATTCTGCCTGTGATACGGAGTGACTTCTCCCTTTTATCACATGTATCATAAAACAATTGTAATCTCAAAAATACACACACCAATACACACCACAAATATAAATAAATTGTATAAAATTAACATACAATTTACCATGCTTTTCTTACTATTTGTGTACGTTTTATTTCTTGTCATGTATGTTTTTATATCCGTGAACACGAGGCTAATTTCTGCTTTTATTATGCGAGTGAATCCCCTACAACATTATAGTGATCGCCGACGTGCATATGAAAAACAACCTATTCGCCCACAATACCAACATTCTGCACATGAATGTTTTATGAAATTTTAAGGTTTAAAATGCATTTTTAAAAATGAAAAATTCTTTCCTAAAGCTTTTATTTTAGTTTTAATTTCAAGCTAATAGATTAAATTTAAGATTTCCAATAAGCAAGATACTTTGCTGGATTTCAAAACGAATTCAGATTGATTGGAATAAGTTTTTTTTTTATTATCAGTAAAAACGTTAAAATGATCCATATTAACAAATCAAGTATTGCAATCTTTATTAAAATTCTTTGAAAAAGTTTCTGAAACTTTATTTGAGGAAGATTAGCTGATTTAAAGTTTAATTAAACCTATTTGAAAAAAATATTACTTAATTTTAGATATCGTAGAAAAGCATGTTTTAACAAGGAGGATGTGTTGACAACTTTCTCGATAGAATTATCTTTGTGAATTTTTTCAACGGGGATATAACTGTAACGAATGCTTGATGAATATAACACGTACACTCTTTTGATATATTTTTTAACTACCCAGTAATCTTAAAAATTTTAGAAAATACTCCAAGGAATCTAATATTTTATTGAATTTCAGGCAATTTGGCTTCATAGTCTGACTTACGAAGACGTTTGTTGAGGAAAAGTTAAAATTTAACTTTACTATAATTGCTGCTCTTATTTTCTAATAGTGTCGCGTTCTGACATAGATATATACAAAAAAAATCTATACGTTCATACGCCTATTAATATAAATTCAAAATTCTTTTCAAAATATTCCAGGTCATTGAATTGTAGAGACTTTTTCCATTAATGAGTAACGTCGAAGAGCTCATATTTTTTAATAATCGGGCGTGTAGGCGAAAATAAATAAATATACTGTTTAATAAATAAATGGCGCGTCTACTCAAATATGAGTATCCACTAAAAATATCTTTCAAGAAAAAATGTGTCGGATGTATAAATATGTTATACGCACGCATGAACTCTCCCAGCTATAAATAGGAGCAGGTACTGCCTTTTTGGTGAAACGGAAGTTTCCAGCTCTGACAGTCAGAACATTCTTGTTGTAACAGTCTCGACCGATATATTGGTTTAACATTCTTCTAGTTCACTATATCTGGCCCTAACAAGGCTCTCATTTGTTTAAAACATATGTTATACCTTCTTAGATTTATACACCTGTTTTTTTTGATATAACTTGGTTTAACACCTATATATATTATTTATGTTATATAACAATAGCTCCTCACCTATATATATTGTTTTTATATAACTGGCCCCTGTTATACACCTATATATATTGTTATGTTATATAACTGTAGATAGCTGCCTGTTATACACCTATATATATTGTTATGTTATATAACTGTAGATAGCTGCCTGTTATACACCTATATATAAAATAACTGTATCCTGTTATACACCTATATATATTGCCTAACTGTAGATAGCAGCACCTATATATATTGTTATATTATATAACTGTAGATAGCATATATTTTTATATTTTTTTTTATATAACTCTAGACAGCTGCCTGTTATACACCTATATATATTGTTATGTTATATAACTCTAGATAACTGCCTGTTATATATCTATATATATTGTTATGTTATTGTTATACTGTAGATACGCCTATTCTATATATATTGTTATATAACTGACTCTCCCACCTATATATAAGTAGGAATTAGTAGCAGTCGTTATACTAAGATAACTGCCTGTTATACTATATATGAGTTGGTCAGTCAGTCGATGTCGGACGACCGTTATACACCTATATATATTGATATTAAAGATATCAGCCACCTATAATATTTTTAGTTATTGCAGCGTCCTGTTAACTATTATATCATATAACTGTTCCTGTTAACACCTACATATATATTTTTTTTATATAACTGTACGTCGAACCTATTTTTGTTAGGAACGATACTTATATATTGAAATAACTGTAAGCCTCCACTGTAAAATTTTTATGTTATATAACAGTTGTTATAACTCTATATAGCTGTTATATAACTGTTATACATACATATATATATTGTTATGTTATATAACTGTAGATATCTATATATATTGTTTATACATAGCTATATATATATTATGTTATATAACTCTAGATAGCTACCTGTTATAAATAACTATATATATTGTTATGTTATATAACTCTAGATACCTGCCTGTTATACACCTATATATATTTTTCTGTTATGTAACCCTAGATAGCTGCCTGTTATACACCTATTATATAATATTCTGTTACACAGCTATGTTATATAACTAATAGCAGCATTCTGTTATATAACTCTAGATAACTGTTATATATATATATTTGTTATGTTATTGTTACGCACACATTCTATTTTTCCTCCCAGTTATAAATAGGAGCAGGTACTACTTTTTGGACGACCGTTAGTCGGAATTAAAGTTTCCACCACAACTAAATTGCAGCAGTCAGTTCTCTTTTGACAGTCCGACCGAACATTCTTCCTCCACTGTAAAAACACTCTCGTTTGTGTATGTTTGTATTCTACTATTTCTGTTAATATATTTGTTTAAATAAATTTATTATGTTTATAACTCTAGATAGCAACAAAATTTTCCAAAAAAGGTCTATTTTCCTTTCTTTATCTTCCTATCTATCTATCTATTTCTATATATATATATATATATATATATATATATATATATATATATATATATATATATCAGTAGCGACTCTAGGTCATCAATGTTTGTTGGGCACATTACAATCTCTAACAAAATATACTATAGGTATAATTTAGATGCTAAAATTATTCCCTTACTCCAACTAATATATATCATTTTTAAAAATCTCTGTGCATGAAATTAATCAAAAACACCCATTTTGGTATTATAATTGAATAATTCTATAAAAAAAATAAACATTTAGAAAGACTGAAAACAAAGCCAGATATTTTTTTTAAATAATGTGTGTATCTATCTCGAGTCTGTGTTTGTATATATGTCTATGTGTTAGTGTGTTTGCCTATCTCTCTGTGAATTTTATTGTATGTTTATGATCATTATTGCTGACTGATATCATATTTCCCCAACACGACCTCAGTTACACTCCTCACCCCCAACCCTCCAGTCACCGATATAAAGCTGCCACTTTATTTGATTTTCGCCGAATTTAAGGTCGGACTAAATTTAATTTGTCCAATCCCAAAAGATATATTCCACTAAAAAAACACTTTATACTGTACGGAATAAATTATTTAAAATGAACATTTGAAATAAATAAGTTAAAATAAACATGTCTTCTTTGAAAAACAGAGCACCATTTTAAAAGATTATTAATAAAATTAAAGCAAGAAATACATTTCTTATAAAGTATATCTCCGGCTTCGGGCAGGCTCAAATCTACTCAGCCCGACTAGCCACGTTCATTTTATTTCATTCTTTTTTTTTTTAATTTCGTTCTTCTTTCCTTCTTCTTTATTATTATGAACAATATGAGCGAAATGTATTTCGGTCAACATTTTGAGGCACGGAGTTTAAACAATTAATTTTGGATTCAATTTTTAAAAATATCAAAGCCAAATACTTCAAAATGTTTTAATGGACGAAATAAAATGACATAAATTTTAAATCACAAAGGGAAAAAAATAGCGTTTGGAAGAAAGTTTCAAATGTTTACGAAATGTTTATTCGCTATTATTTTCAAAATTTAAGACGACGGTATCAAAAAAAAATATCCGTTACTCTAGTAACGAGACAAAAGACGAACTTTATGCTTTTGTCTGTGACACGTAGCTATTCGTTTTTGTTGTTGTTTTTTTTTTTTCGGTGTTAAGTTGTCACTTGCTAGTTGTACGACGGGTAATATGGAGTGTGTTTACGCATACACATACCTTTTTAATTTTTGGCCGTTCCACAGGTGAATAAGCTTCATGTAGCGACCATACTGGAGTTTATTATTGTTTAATTTCCTCTGATTTCTAATGTATACACATTTCTTTCCGCGTCCTGCCCAGGGACCTGCCTAGAAATGGCATCATGATATTTTCAAACTGGGAAAAAAAACATATTTTACATAGACAAAGCTCTTCGTAAGTTGTGGGCTGTACACGTGAGAACAATTTTTTGTGTTTCTTTAAGGCATGGACTTCCAGGAATCCCTTCAATGAGTCTATTGGATTCTTTTCCAACTAATCCGAGGGCTCCAACTACAACAGAGATTGTTGATGTTTCCATGTGCCACAATTTTTAGATTATTTTTATTATTATTATTTTATTTCCTTTGATTTTTGGTGTGTACTCATTTCTTTCCGGGTCCCGCCCAGAACCTAAGGTTAGAAATGGCATCATGACATTTTCCACTAGGAAAAAAAAAACATATTTTACATAGATAAAGCCCTTCGTAAGGTGTGGGCTGTACTCGTGTGAACAATGTTTTGTATTTCTTTAAGGCATGGGCTTCCAGGAATCCCTTCGATGAGTCTATTGGAATCTTTTCCAGCAAATCCGAGGGCTCCAACTACAACAGGGATTGTTGATGTTCCTATGTGACACATTTTTTAAATTTCAAGGTCCTTGTATTTTGATAGCTTTGATAGATTATTACTATTATTATTATTATTATTTTACTCTGTGACGGAAAATTTAGAAATGGCTGGATGCTTGTCCACCCAAATGGTTGACAGTGTAATTGGAATGTGAGACACACTTTACCTTTTGCAATTTTTGGACCCTGCGGACACACTTTCCCCAGCAGAAGATATCGCAAAGGGCATCTCGAAATCTGGAGCCTGTTATACAGTAAAGGCAGAAGGTGGCGCATTTGTTTGTGTAGAGAAGATAAAAAACAACGGAGAAGACGAGCAGGTTTTCCGCTTTCTCTTTCGGTGACTCCAGGGCGTACTGCTTGTGCGACGTGAAGGCCGTGTGCAGGCAGAACGGGAAAGTGAGTAGAATGATAGCGAATGACTCCACAAGAAGCATAATGCTGATTTGTCGTGAGCGCGACGTCTCGGACACCCCGCGGATCTCTCGGTTGACGGGTAGCTTTTTCGATTTACGATAGAAGTAGATAATGATTGCGTTACTGGCGATGATCATACAGAAGGAGGCTAAGAGGAAGACGGTATGAATCCAGGGCCATATGTCCCTCCAGAAAAAAGAATAACCTTCGCTGGGTTCTTCGACTGTGCAAAGGCGGTCCTTGCGAAACCTCGGCACGATGTCGGAGACGAAGAGAAAATGGGCCTCTTTAAGGCTGACGCTACCCAAAAGCAGACAGACGATGATTTTGGCTCGACGGGCCGTGCATATCCGGTTGGCTTGAAACGGAAAAAGAATAGCCACTGCTCGGTCGGCCGTCATTGCTGCCGTTAAAATAATCCCGAAGTCGCTGCTACCCCAACCAAAGAAATTAAAAAATTTGCACATATAGTGAGCGTCTTTTGTCCTAGCGATGGCGTAGGGGAAATTAACATAGACCCAATGTGCTGGGAGGGCTATAACGAAACACAGAGCATCGCCGAGGGCTCCGGCTACCATAAAAACAGAGGTGGACAACGAGGAGAAATATTTACTTGTCATAACGATAACCACTAAAATATTACACACTGTCCCAAAGAGGATTAATATTGGCGGGTAATAAAGATTTATAATAGCAGCAATTTGGCTTTCCATATAATTTGTATAGCTGTCATTCATTCCATAGTTCAGACCATCGTCTTCTGAAACAGCGTTCGTGAAGTTCTGCGAGTTAAATGGTGGCGTTACCTTACTAGTATTCATCCTCTGGATTCACCTGCAATTGGGGATCCAATGGCAAAAAAAGACATACGTGGGGTCTGTAGCCGAGAACTGACGCTTGGTATAAAAATTGTAAACACTCCTCACCCGCATAAGTGAAGGAGTGAATCCAATATTGGAAAATTAATACGTTGTCAGTATTTTTTTTTTTTTTTTTTACTCTCATGTATATAAGTAATAAGTATATATATGTATGTATATGTATATAAGTAATGGTATATTAGTTGTATGTTTACGCATTACGGATGATTTTGTTTATTAGTTCTGTAGCGGGATATATGTAAATATATGGGCTATAAGTTTGTATTGGTTGTTTTGTAGATATGTCTATCTGTGCCAGACCCCGGGTATGTGGATTTTAGCATTACATGTGTAATATGAGAGATACGTAGAATAGTAGGAAGGATAGATAGATAGATAGAGAGAGAGAGAGAGAGAGAGAGAACAAATGATAGCCAGCTAACTACCTATCGTTTTTTCTTTCTATAGATAGATAGATAGATAGATAGATAGATAGATAGATCTTTCTTTCTTTAGATAGATAGATAGATAGATCTTTCTTTAGATAGATAGATAAATAGATAGATAGATTCTTTCTTTAGATAGATAGTTCTTTCTTTAGATAGATAGATAGATAGATAGATAGATAGATAGATAGATTGTTCTTTCTTTAGATAGATAGATAAATAGATAGATAGATAGATAGATAATAGATAGATTGTTCTTTCTTTTAGATAGATAGATAAATAAAGAGAGTTCTTTCTATAGATAGAACAAATAGATAGATAACTAGATATCGTTTGTTTTTTCTTTAGATAGATAGATAGATAGATAGATAGATAGATAGATAGATCTTTTTTTTTAGATAGATAGATAGATTCTTAGATAGATAGATAGATCTTTCTTTAGATAGATAGATAGATAGATAGATAGATAGATAGATAGATAGATAAATAGATAGATAGATATATTGTTCTTTCTTTAGATAGATAGATAGATAGATAGAGAGAGAGAGAGAGAGAAAGAACAAATGATAGCCAGCTAACTACCTATCGTTTGTTCTTTCTATAGATAGATAGATAGATAGATAGATAGATAGATCTTTCTTTCTTTAGATAGATAGATAGATAGATCTTTCTTTAGATAGATAAATAGATAGATAGATAGATTGTTCTTTCTTTAGATAGATAGATAGATAGATAGATAGATAGATAGATAATGAACTGATTAAAATAGATAATGAATAAAATGAGGTAGATAGATGCGAATAGCCTGAGATAGATAGCTGTAACCTTTCTCTGTTTTTCTTTGATGTAAAGTTGATCAGTAAATCCCTCCAATTCATATGCGTGAAAACGCCTTTGCCTGTAAATAAGCTGTGTCAACGATCAATGGAAGCCATTTCCCTGATTAGTTTTCTCTCAATGACAATGTCTGTTCAATTGCTTGCGCATGATCGTTAAATCCTTTAAAACTATTCTCGTATCCTGTTTCCAGCGTTGAAATGTCAACAACTCTCGTTAGAAATCTCGTGTTCACGGGCTTCTAAACAAATAAATTCAATCCCATTACGATAGGCACCAAGAGAATTGCATAAATCGAGGATGAAATAAAGAAAGAGGGAAGCAATCGAACGAAGCGAGTAAGAAAACCCAAAGAACAAAAATGATCCGGTCTTTAGATTCCTGTAGTCGAAAGGGTAGCCAATTCCAGGCGGTGTTTCTGTGTCGACGTTGCAAAAGATTTAAAAGAATTTGTCACTTAATGGCGGACATTGCAGTCGACAGGACGATTAACTGCCGGTGTGAAATCGTTTGATCAAAATTCGTCCGACTGTTTTCGAGAGGAATGTAATAAGCAAAGATGGCGTCTGTAGTTTTGCTTTTGTTTTCTTGTTTGTTTGTTTATTGTTTGTGTTTCTTGTTTGTTTTTTTGTTTTGTTTTTTGTTTTTTTTTGCTTTATCAGAAAAATGATTTCTCACGTTTGAGATTAAGCTCCTTTAGTGACAGTTTTAGGAAAGGATTATTTGCTCATGGAAATAACTCCTAATCCAACTTCTGTTTTCCATTCCACTTAATCATAATCCACGGTTGGAATTTTTGCATGTAACCAAATCGATATAAGAAAGCGGTCTTAAGCAACTTCTGTATTTTCGAAACGACATTTTGATTTGATTTTATGGTATGCAATAACTAATGAAATTTTTTCTTTTCCAATATTTTTACATTTTGAGTTGTTTTATCATTAATTTTTTTATCGTTCTTACAAATTGTCTTGCTTAAAATAATTCATAAAGACGTGTGTGTACACTTCCAGAAATTATTTTTATATATATTTGCTTATATCGATGTATATGCCATTATTAAAAATTAAATTGAAGCTTGTAAGTGCATTTGTATGCACGTGCTTGTTGGCTATTCATCATTAGATTATTTTCGCACACATTCTTGTATTTTCAATTTCATAACGTAGACATACAGTTATGGGGGGTGCGTCCGTGTGTCTCAGAGTGACGGAGTAGAATTTGGTTACGAAAAGGGCCAGCAAAATAAATGATAATAACAGAATTTAAAAATTTAAAGCATTCTTCTCCATGGAGAAAAAAAAATAGCAATTACTGCCTTTGGTTTCGGAAAAATGTAGTCGTTTCTGTCTTCTTTGAGAGTAAATTCAAATATTTACTATTGAGTATCCATAATTTGGAATAAACACACAGGCAGAACACACAGACACACACAGATGCATATATATATATATATATATATATATATATATATATATATATATATATATATACTATTCCCCAAACAAGGCGATAATGCCACTAAGCCACTGGGAGTGAAGAATAATGAGAAGACTTTAGAAGGTACTGGGAACCGAATCTTAAACAGAAAACAAGGGATAAACCTCTACTCCTGTTCAAAAGACCGGGGTGGTGAACCGGATATATATATATATATATATATATATATATATATATATATATATATATATATTTGTGTGTATGTGTGTTGTTTTAAACAAAAGAGAAGAAAGCGTTGTATCAGCGGTAATGAAGAAAATTTCTGCGTCCACTTCAAATACAGATTAGCATTTCTTTCAATATGATCTTCATTGGATCTATTTTAAGGTATTATGGCTACTATTAATGGCAAAAATCTTTTATTATCGATAAGTTTTCTATTCTGAATTTAACACTTCGGGAGCTAATTTTTGTCTATATCCATATGTATGAAACGCAGTATTCGTCCATACGCGTGTGTATATGTGTACGCGTTATACTTTTCACAAAGTATGCAGATACCACACGTTGATCCTCTGCAGAACGCCCGACAGGTGATACTTTAATCCTAGGTCGATGACAAAGATCCTTTGATCCTAGGTCAATGACAAAGATCCTTTGGTTCTAGGTCGATGACAAAGATCTTTTGATCCTAGATCGATGACAAAGATCCTTTGATCCTAGATCAATGACAAAGATCCTTTGGTTCTAGGTCGATGACAAATATCCTATGGTTCTAGGTCAATGACAAAGATTCTTTGATCCTAGGTCAATGACAAAGATCCTTTGGTTCTAGGTCGATGACAAAGATCCTTTGATCCTAGGTCAATGACAAAGATCCTTTGGTTCTAGGTCGATGACAAAGATCCTTTGATCCTAGGTCAATGACAAAGATCCTTTGATCCTAGGTCAATGACAAATATCCTTTGGTTCTAGGTCAATGACAAATATCCTATGGTTCTAGGTCAATGACAAAGATTCTTTGATCCTAGGTCAATGACAAATATCCTTTGGTTCTAGGTCAATGACAAATATCCTATGGTTCTAGGTCAATGACAAAGATTCTTTGGTTCTAGGTCAATGACAAAGATCCTTTGATCCTAGGTCGATGACAAAGATCCTTTGATCCTAGGTCAATGACAAAGATCCTTTGGTTCTAGGTCGATGACAAAGATCCTTTGATCCTAGGTCAATGACAAATATCCTTTGATCCTAGGTCAATGACAAATATCCATTGGTTCTAGGTCAATGACAAATATCCTTTGGTTCTAGGTCAATGACAAAGATCCTTTGATCCTAGATCGATGACAAAGATCTTTTGATCCTAGGTCAATGACAAAGATCCTTTGATCCTAGGTCAATGACAAAGATCCTTTGATCCTAGGTCAATGACAAAGATCCTTTGGTTCTAGGTCAATGACAAAGATTCTTTGGTTCTAGGTCGATGACAAAGATCCTTTGATCTTAGGTCAATGACAAAGATCCTTTGATCCTAGGTCGATGACAAAAATCCTTTGATCCTAGGTCGATGACAAAGATCCTTTGATCTTAGGTCGATGACAAAGATCCTTTGATCCTAGGTCGATGACAAAAATCCTTTTGTTCTAGGTCAATGACAAAGATTCTTTGGTTCTAGGTCGATGACAAAGATCCTGTGATCCAAAGCAAATATGTTGATCCATCCATAAATAATGTCATTTTTTTCCAGATGCTTAATCCAAAATACTCCACACGAAAAAAAATTATGCTTATTAAATTAAACGAGGAAGAGGGGGAGATCGTAGGAATGCGTTGGTTGGCTCGAAATTAAACCGTTGCTCAATCATTTTAAATACCATTTGGTTTCCGTTTGGCTTTTGTCTCGTTCTGATAAGGGACTCTTGAGCCGGGTATCTTGGCTTGGAATTAGTAACCACGAGCCTGAAATAAAAGACAAAGAAAAGTAATTAAATGACAAAACACAACAAATAAAAAAGAACATATATATATATATATATA